TCGGTGGTCCAAAGATAGCTTCAACAAAATTGGAACTTGCATTGACATTTGATTTTGTAAAATCTTATATCAACGTTATGATAATGCCTAGCGATAGCAAGCCAAATGATCTCATATCGTCATTAAAGCCTAGGAAAGATCTGGAAATAAAATTAACGCCTAAACAGTGGACATACATTTGCAATATTCTGCATATTCCCATGATTAAAGTAAGGACGTCTTTTCCCACCCTCAAGACCGTTTCAAAAGTACTCCAGAAGAAAAATCTGCACTTTACATAAGAGAGCGAAAAAAACTTGTACGCAAATAAACCACTGAACAATAGTTTTTTAAGGTGAGCCATCACCATCACTTTGAGGTATACCAAACGGACTTCCCCATATCTAGAGTAAATTTCTGGTAGCAAGAAATGAGTACGTTTAGTAATACACCAGTCTCTATATACGTTACCCTCCTCGATAAGTCCCTCTCAGTTCCAGAACTACACCACTGTACTCATTTACTTTGCTTAAAAAGCCTCACTAATCTCAAGTTGAAAACACGCCTATGCTTAACTTACATTTCGCAATATCATCGAGCTGTGTGCCAACATTGGACGACATGGCTGCGTTTGACTGGCGACCGTAAACCGTATACGTATACTTTCAATAACTATTAACACTCCCTGACTTTCACAATACTAAAGGTCATCACCCTGTTTGACACTATTGTAAACACTTATAAATTCAACGTCTTTATGAACGTCAATATAACAAAACAAATCAACAATGAGCCATGTCGATTTACTTCTTTCCAGCAGAGACAGTAGCCTTCTTGATACCGCGCACCTTCTTTTGTCGGTTCTTTCGTTCTTTGCGCTGCTTGCGACCTCCTCTGTCTACTTTTGTGGCGAGACCCATCTGGAAAACAAAAGATTCGAACAAAAAACGAATACAATCTATTTGTTTTCTTTAAAAAAGAAAATTTCAGAATTATGGTGTACACTACCTTATAATCCCAGCGCAGCAGAATAAAACTTAGGGAAATAGCGAATTCTTGATTAAATTTGTTTGATATGTCCAAAACAAAGTTATTAAGTAACGGAACTAAAAATAAATTTAAAATAGCCTATTGACATGCATTTTAATCCAATTTGCTCTTCATGAAAAATTTTAAACGGATGCGCCAACTG